ACACTCTAAAAAATGCTGGGTTAAATATAACCCAGCGCTGGGTTAAAAAGGGACTGCGGAAGCATTTGATATCACGCATAAGGCGCCATGATTTCCGCAATGAATGAATGGTGGACGGCGCGGTGCACTGTTTTGTTTACTACACACATACTAAAGCGCTGATGACGCTCGCGTTGTTTTCAGCTTCTGCCGTCTCACCATATGATGATATGAACACGAATGTCATCTCCAGCTGCTCTGAGAGTCACTTTATTAGCATTTTACCGTTTCATTTGAGAAAACTACCGTCATATCACATACACAGCAGCTGCAAGTTCTTCACGGCAACCCGTCAAAATAAAAGTTTAGTTTAACGTTAAGAAACTGTCAGAATATATTACTATTTAGCAGTCTTAAGAATCAATGCTACTACTGCTAATAAATATTTCTTTATTTTTAAAGGAATAATCACATCTGTTTTCTTTTTAATTTTAACAGTAAACCTCTGTTGTGCAGCACTTTGTTTGCCAAAAAATAAAAGGGTTTAATTTTCATTTGATTAGGATAAATTAAATTAATGTTTTATGCCTTCATCTGATTACCAGAAAAATTAAGAACATTTTATAGGGCCCTATTATTGTTTAAAAAAGGACCCTATACAAAAAAAAAAGAATAGGTTTAAAATACAGGCATGTGGTTCTTAATTTCTTTGTATTAATTCACCATTTGTAAACTGATGTTTACTGTTAATTTTTTTAGAAATATCAATAGCATTTGTATTAAAACTATATTCACTAAATGTAATCAAAAAATCGAGAATTGAATCGAATCGGGACATCTGAATCGATACCCAGCCCTGGTTTGAACTAGAATCCAACATTCAAAGGGAAAAAAACACACATTGGTGTAATTGTACTTTTGGCTCAAAATCTCATAGCTACTGAGATTCAACCCCTGTGACAACTAGCCCCAGCCTCACCTATCACTTTTAGGCTGTTAAATTAAGAATACGTTAAAATGTTACCAAAGCAAAGAATTGTAACTGATTATGACAGCGAGATCTAGAAGGAGTTTAAAGAGCTCAGAAGTGCTGAGAAAAAGAGGGCTATCTCTTTAATAGTACACGCTACTGTGAGAAACATTCAGCAGTGCTGCAATCTAAAATGGCTTTAGACAAAAGTACCCCAACACAGCCATGTGTTTCACTGGCAGAAAGATCCTGAGTAATGTTTTTTGGCTAATTTAATACAGCTAAGCGGACTACTGTATGTATTTTTAAGGTTATAGTGCAGACGACCGCACAAGCCATAATGACATGTACAGCCAAAGCAGCTGCGTAAACATCTAACCGACTAAACAACCGTATCGTAACGCATTTACAAAAACATTTCTGACCAAAACATCCAATAGCTTCCTTATCAACACAACATGCTCTCAGATCAGCTGAGCGCGTGCACGAAAACAAGCGATGGACAGCGACTCTGTTACCTCTTCCGCCGCTCTTCCGTTAAAAGATGATTCCCGTTAAAAGATGATTCCCGTCAAAACAGCCGCGTCCAACTGTGTCATATTAAGTGGCGGCTGACGGCTCCGGTCCGCTGTCCGGGCTTAAAACGGTTCATTAGCGACCGTAGGGAAGAGAAAAGCGCTCGAGCGGGCGGTACTGAGGAGACCGCACGCGCGCGCGCACTCACTCACTCACTCACACACACGCACACTGCTGGAAGAACGCAGCACACGAACACGCTGCCTTTAGCGCGCGCTTTAAGCGCTCTTCGGCTGTAGCTATCTGTGTGCTGGATCAACGCAGAAGATATGTGAACACCAATGGCCTATTCTCTCTCTCTCTCTTTCCCACACACACACGCTCACAGAAGCACGCACAAGTGCAGAGCCAGTGCAGCTAACAGCAGGACAGTCGTGCGTTGCTTCACTTTGACATCTCTGTCATGTAAATATACATTTCTCATGCCCAATGCTGTGCATCAGCATTTTCAGCATCATCAGGTGAGCATCACCCATCCGCCCTGGAGGGCCATGACTGGAGCTGACAAGGTCAAATAAGGTGTTTTTGCATTCTCTCTCTGGCTCCTTTCCTCCCCCATTTTAGTATTTATTTACTTATTTTATTCATTCATTCATTTAGACATCATAATGTTTAATTAACATAACTCGGCTTTTTGGTGAAAACGGCAGACCTCTCTCTACTGATATATGCTGGACTTCTCCTATCACTTAAACCACTTTATCCGCTTAAACTCCACTCCTTTCTTACAATCGACTGCAATCACACGTTCAGATCTGCCTACAACCAATCAACAAAGATGGATAGAAGAAAGTCCCCTCACAACATTTTTTCCAATAATCCTGTTCACTCGAATGCACATCGCAATACCGAAGATCTGTTGCTATGTCTGTTTTATCGTGACTTACAATAACAATATAGTTCGGATTGTAGGTCATGATGACACTTTTTAACGTTCATAAAAGTTAAATCTCCTTGCTCGAAAAAATATGTTTGTTCAATACCTCACTTATCCACTCTCTATATGACCCAGAAATCAATTTGTTCAGACATACACAGATATAAATGAATGTTCACTATACAATTGATATCACAAATATGTTTTCACACGACCCAAATACTGCTTGATATAGGCAAATGAAAGTGGTCTCATTCAGATTTCTAGAAACCGGAATAGGCATCTTTACACAGCCAAGTTAAGGCTGCTCTGTAATGCCTGCTCAAAATGCATAAAAAACAGACTACAATAAGTCTTCTCTGGCCTACCTCAGCCCTAGTAACGTATACAGTTACATTTGGTGTCTGAATGCTTTCATGCCACCTCTGAGCAGCATTAAACAGTCTGAAAAAAGACACCTAAATGCCACTTGAGAGGCACTTCTGTTCCACCTTCTGAGCACTGGATTGATCTAGTTATGGGAATCAGGTTAAAGGGATAGTCCACCCATAAAATGTAAATTCTGTCATCATTTACTCACCCTCATGTCATTTCAAACCTGTATGCACTTTATTCTTCTGCTGAACACAAATGGAAATCATTTTAAAATGGAAACCAAAACTGTTTAATTACTAACATTCTTCGATATATCTTCTTTTGTAAGAAAGGCATACAGGTTTGTAACAACATGAATAAATGATGACAAAATGTTCCTCTACAATGGGGGAATTATCCATTTAATGCCTTTATAATACTTACATAATGAAAATGACACAAATCTGATCAATGTAGGAATATTCTTGTGCATATAAATACAACCACGGCTATATACAGAGGTATTCAAAAGTCAGTACACCAAATAAATAGGATGTCTGAATTAGCACCATTCAACAGAGATTATGTGTGCAACCAGTGGACAATTCACTATCGCATGAGGCCATGGATCAAAGAACATCCAGGTCAAAGGACAATGCCAACATGGTGGATGTATTACATCTGGGAATATACTACACACCTGCATACTTAAAGAACATGCTTCATCAATGGTAAAGAATTATGTGCATTACATGCTTAGATATCTATGATTTGACTGCAGAAGATGGATTTGTTAATGAGGATCCCTTGTGAGAAACCCAGTGAACCCTCTCTCTCTCGTTTTCTCCGTGCTTGCTTACTCTTTCCACCAGTGAGTGTGTCCGACCAATCGTTTATCTCCCACTGTGCAGTGGCACGACGGTTCCCAGCAGCCCTGGCCAATCAGAGATCAGGGATGCAGGAGCAGCAGGGTATTAAGGAGGATTATTTGGACAGTTCAGGGTTTCCCCAGACTTGGCAATGAAACAATAGGACAAGACTGCCCTCTGTACCCCTCACCGGTATTGCACACTTACTAAAAAATGCCTGCAGAAACAAATGAATGCTGTGCATAAATACAGCAGTGTGCCCAGCAAAAACCATGAGATTCAAGAAAGAAATATCATGGAAATAACCCTTAAACTAGACAGAAAACAAGCTTGACTTGTTTGGATACTCATTAGACTGCTGCCTGGCAACCGCAGCAATTATTAAGAGGGCTGTCATTCTCCTCTTTCTCTCCCTGTCTCCCTCAATCTCTCCCAAAAGAGCCCTCTGCTGTCTCATGGGATATCTAGAATTGCATAACCACAGCCAGATATGGCAACACTCTAGTATATAAACCTGCACTGATATCCTGTCTCTAAAAGTGCATCTAGACCCTGAGTACATTGCAGGACTCATTAACATCTCTAAAACACTCCAGCCAAGTAATTGTTATTTGCCCTGTGTATAAGTGAGCAATTTCCATCCTCTTCAGATCTGCAGCAGAAAACGTATAAGCACTGTAGTAGGTTAAAGTGAAGGATCGAGTTCATCTTTGTTAAATAAAAGGAGACTGGAGCCGTTTGAATGGCTACTTTGCCACAAAAAGACTGGTATGGTACTTTTTGATCTGAATGGTATGTACAATTTGATCTTTTGCTAAGCTCCACCCACCTTGGTTACTGTTGCTAACTCAGACAAGCTTTACAAAACATCTCACAGGAATGAACTGGAGATTTTTTTTAACTTTAGGTCAAATGTGCACATAAAATGAATGCAATTTAAATATGCCACAGGTGCTACTAATCTTTTCCCAGGATACTAACTGCTGTCTCGATACATGTATAAAGCTCATCAAGTGACTTAAGAAAGTAGTCAGTGATTTTTTTGTGAAAGAATAGATGGAGGGTGTGGGGTAAAGGAGGGGTGGATAAGGTTTCAAGAGGAAGTGAGCATTTGCTCCAGATGGAGGAGTAAGCCAAGTCCTTAGAAAACCAAACCATGATCAGGACACAGACTAATCCAATAATGCCTGGACCACAGCTCTGCGGTTGAACCAAAACTACAACATTGATAATAGATTAAACTCTTATTTCAAATCTAAAATCTAAATCAACCTAATCTAAAAAACAAACAAACAAAAAAACAACCATAGGGCCTATATAAAATGCCATCTATGCTGTTTTTATAGTGTATTTTTTGATGAACACAAAGACTTACCTTATCCTTGGTACTGCCTGGGCCATTGGTTCTGTTAGAGATGATCGACAGCTGTTTTTGAACCCACTGTAACTCTCTTTGGGACTGTTTTAGTACCTCCACCTCGCACTGCCTTTCAACCCCCATCATCTCCTACAGGACAGAGCCACATGTCACTTAAGGGCAGAGTGAGGGATTTTTCAAAAATGCTTTAAAAACTGATTCGGGCCGAATCGCAAAACAAACTTGTAGCCAATCAGCAATAAGGGGCGTGTCTACTCGTGATGTGGAGGAGAGCGCGTTCAGTGCATGGGACGGACATCATATAGGCTGGTGAGAGCTGTAGCACCATCAGTTTAACCAATTAGACATGAGCAACAGGGGTAAAATTACTGTTATTTATGATCACTACAATTCTCCTTATGTGACAGTAGAAGTTTTAATCCTTTGTCTGTTTTCAATGTGAAGGATTTACAAGGAAAAAAAACAAATAAACAATTTTGAGGAAAGGTAGGATTTGATTTGAGATCATGTTAATGCATGCTAAATAATAGAATTGGTGTCTGAATCATAAGATTCTCCTGTTTATTTAATTTGATGGCACCCATCTACATTTTAATGTGTGCTTATTTCTTTGTGTCTGACTCTTCTTTATCCCAGCAGTCTTTGATTCTATACTGACACCTAGTGGTGTGGATGCATGAAGAGTTTAATTAACTGTTGTTGCTTCAAAGCAAAGCTGTTTCTTTGAAGATTTTTAAAAATCTGTTTTAAATTTTATTTGCCGTTTTGAATTATAATGTTTCCTAAATATTTTAAAATAAAACAATAAAATTAAGCGAGATATGTGAATTTTTAAATTACAGTACTAATTTACTAATTTAAAATGTTTTTAAAAGGATGCATTAAAGCAATAGTTTTTAATGGGAAGTTAAAAAAAATGGGAACATTTAAAATGGGAAGTTAAAAAAAATGGGAACATTTGCTGAAAAAATATTTACCCTCAGGCCATCCAAGATGTATTTTGTCTCTTCATCAGAACAGTTTTGGAGAAATTTACATCTCTTGCTCACCAATAGATACCCTGCAGTGAATGGGTGCCATCAGACTGAGAGTCCAAACATAAATATAAACATGATAAAAAACATCACAGTTTTTGTTCACAGTAACTGTTTTAGACTGTTTTTGCTTGTAAAAGGTGCTTGTCCTGAGCCGGTTTCTCTCCTAATTCTGACTTTTTCATTGAAGAACACAATATTATGGATAGAGGACTCATATTTTAGGCTGAAGCAATGGTTAAAAACGTCTTAATGATGATTTGTTTCTTACAAACATGCAGCTTTTCACTTCACAAGACATTAATTGATGAACTGGAGTGGTGTGGATTACTTGTGGATTATTGTGATGTTTTTATCAGCTGTTTGGACTCTCATTCTGATGGCACCCATTCACTGCAGAGGGGTTGAGCTATTGGTGAGCATGTTATGTAATGCTGAATTTATCCAAATATGTTCCAATGAAGAAACAAACTCAAATACATCTTGGATGGCCTGAGGGTAAATTGTCAGTAAATTTTCAGCAAATTTACATTTTGGGGTGAACTATTTATGCTGTTCTTTTAAACTTTCGTGAAAATTCAGCCATGCCATCACAAGGATGAATTAACAAAAACCTAATAACAAAAATAAAGAGGGAGATTTTTCACAGTACTACTGTTTTTACTGTATTTTTGATCAAATAAATGCAGCCTTGGTGGGCATAAGACACTTCTTTAAAAAGTAATAAATCTTTCTGACCCCAAACATTTGAACAATAGCGTAAATACGAAAATATTTGATCAAATGTTGAGACACAACCGAAAAACATACCTTGCAGATGTTAAAACAAAATGTTACACACTCCCCAGTCTCCTTTAACCCACACATACATAAACGCAAGCATACCTCGCACACATACACTTTTTACATCATGCATACAAATCGGCCCCAGACTGACATCATGCCCAGACCCCTGGTGCAGTCAAACACACACACACACACACACACACACACACACACACACTCTGAGCCATTTCACATAAGCATGAACATTGATATGACCCTGCATGCACTAAATAAATCATTTTTGTAAACACATGTATGTATGATATTTTCCAGTTATAAATCCAATAATCCCTAATAATCTAAACAAACATAATAAATGCAAACATAATACCCAAAGACAATACAAATACACTGAAAGCATATATTAATATTTACTGTACACAACATACTCTACAAAAATCAATCCACAGACTGTAATCTACAAATGTCTTAATCCACACATCTGTTTGCAAAAGTGGTACATACCATGACCCATAATCTATGAATAATCTACACATTGGCAGCCCTGCTCTCTGTGAACTCCAGCAAACCGCTCCATGTCCTGCTCTTACGCGTGTTTACCCACAGTGCTCTAGTCATACTCTGCTGTGGCTGACGGTGATGTCACAGAGCCAGCGTGCCACAGGCCGCGTGGGATTATTAATATCTGTACTTCACTGGAGTTACGTAAGAACGGGCGCTGGATTATATCGTTACTGTACAGAAAATGGCCATGAAGAAAGCGGTTTGAGGAGGGACAGGAACAGGAAATGCCCTCTCAGGGGTGAACATAATCCCCTCTGATAGCACTGCATCTTAAATGAGTCTGACTAAATGATAATGGAGAAAGAAAGCAGCTGAACAGATGTGCGGTGTAGTACTGCTGAGAGGCCACATGGCTTGCCTGGGACGGGGCAAGGGCTATGAATAGAGTCACTCGATAGCAGTCCATTGGAAAATGAGGATGCAGAAAAATCCATCCCCTCCGAGCCTATACAGACAAACCTGCTGGAGCTTCACAAGGGCCATTCCACGAAATATGGAGTTCCTTTTGTGCCTTTTTATGCAATCAAACATACCATGTTTGAAAGCAAAACCGATTAAACAATTAACAGTGCAGGCGAGAGCACATTTCTGCAAAAAGACAAAAAAGATTTAATCCCACTGCAGAGAGTTTTGTTCTCAATTACTTTAAACAGCTCTAAGAAGCCACCTTTGTGTGTAAACAATGACTGAATAACACAATGAATTACACATCAACAGTAAAATTATTTAAGTATAAATTATTCTTTTTTTTTTCTTTCTCATCCCTAGTGCCATTCTCCCAAATGTTCCTGGCAGTATTAACAACATAAAGCATAAAAACTATATTTTAATCTATTTTTGAAATGTTAGAATTGTCAGCTTCATCTCTTTATTCACTCACCCTAACCAGGTCAGGTGAGATTTTCATTTACTTTTCACTGGCTCTCTCTCTCATGTGTATGTGGATGCTCTCTTACTGTCTCTGAGGCAGAAACATTTCCGTTACATAATGTTTGTGCTTCTGCCCACTCACTCACAGCTCAATAGCAGAGATAGGATGTCCTGAAAGCGTCGTCATGAGAGGCATTTTTTTTCAGCTTTCATCATAACAGTGTAAGTGCATATGGTTTTCACAGACACTATCCAGACTGTCTAATGTGTGTGAGTGTGTTCGAGGGAGATTTTCACAGCTGCTGTGTCCAGGGTAAAATCCCATGAGCATCAATCTATGCACCTGCTTCAGCTTTGTCACACATACTGAGGTTCTCATGGTAACAGTGATGTCATCATTAACAGAGTGGATGGTTGACTTACTGGACAGTGGTTTTTTGGACATTCTGCATTTACCGTAGTGCAAAGACCATGTAAATAAATTAATGCAGATGGAATGAAGTTGTTATCTGTTATCAAGCACTTTTAATTTCTCTCTCTCTCTCTCTCAAAAAAAGAGAAATCTTACAACTCCAAACTTTTGCACGCTATTTTATGTGATAAACATTCACCAAAAACAAAAAGAGACAGTATTGAGCAGTG